ATAGTCACCCCAATTGTCAATTCAGCCACATGTACAAGACATACAGAGAATCGAAATTGCGTTACTCTCAGACCCAAGGTGCTTAACATTAATATAAAATATATATATAAAAAATAGTAGGGTTTAAGAAAAAAAGAAAATTTAGAAAATTTACAGTATATACATTGCACATAAATGTGGTCTAAGAAATATACATATGTAATAAAAAAATTGTAAACAATACAGTGACATTAAGGGCATATAGCAATGAGTGCAAAGTAAACCAGAGTTGTGCAGATAAAAAACAGTATAGTGCAAAAAGAACTTGTAAACATGATAATTGTGATAAAGTGACAGTGACATATTGGGAGGTAGTATATGTGTCTGCATAAAGTGACCAGTGCAGATGAGTGTGTGTGTGTGTGTGTGTGTGTGTGTCAGAGTCCAGAGGTGCGAGGGGAGGAGGTGCGTGGGGAGGGAGCGGGGAGCAGAGCTGGGAGAGAGTTCAGCTTCCTGACAGCCTGATGGATGAAGCTGTCTTTCAGTCTGTTGGTCCTGGCCTGGAGACTGCGCAGTCTCCTCCCTGATGGCAGCAGACTGAAGAAGCTGTGCATTGGGTGGGTGGCATCTGCTGTTATGCAGAGGGCTTTACGGGTAAGACGTGTGCTGTAAATGTCCTGAAGGGAGGGGAGAGAGACACCAATGATCTTCTCAGCTGTTCTCACTATGCGTTGAAGTGTTTTCCTGCAGGATGGCATTGCAGGTTCCAAACCACACAGTGATGCAGCTGGTCAGGATGCTCTCAATAGTGCCTCTGTAGAAGGTGTACATGATTGGGGGCTGGTGCTCCTGCTCTTTTGAGTTTGCGGAAGAAGTAGAAACCCTGCTGTGATTTTTTGGCCAGTGCAGTGGAGTTTTTGGTCCAGGAGAGATCCTCAGTGATGTGTACACCCAGGAACTTGGTGCTGCTCACACGCTCCACAGTCGCACCGTTGATGGTCAGGGGAGCATGGAGAGTGTGCTCTTTCCTGAAGTCAACAACAATCTCTTTCGTCTTCTCCACATTTAAAAGGAGATTGTTGTCTCTGCACCACTCGGCCAGACGGCTCACCTCACTTCTGTAGTTTTCCTCATCGTTTTTGTTGATGAGACCCACCACAGTTGTGTCATCCGCAAACTTGATGAACAGATTGGAGTTGTGTGATGGTGCACAGTCATGAGTGAGCAGGGTGAAGAGGATAGGGCTCAGAACACATCCCTGAGGGGCCCCAGAGTTTAAAGTGATGGTGCTCGATGTGTTACTGCCGGCCCGTACTGCTTGTGGTCTTCCAGTGAGAAAATCCAGCAGCCAGTTACACAGAGAGGTGTTCAGCCCCAGCTGGAGCAGTTTTTGAGAGAGCTGTTGGGGGATGATAGTGTTGAATGCTGAACTGAAGTCTATGAACAGCATACGGACGCAGGAGTCTTTTTTGTCCAGATGTGTGAGTGCTGTGTGAAGTGCAGTGGTGATGGCATCATCAGCCGAGCGGTTGGGCCGATAAGCAAATTGAAACGGGTCCAGGGAGGGGGGGAGGACAGACTTGATGTGCTGCATAACAAGGCGTTCAAAGCACTTCATGATGATAGGAGTCAGTGCAATTGGACGGTAGTCATTAAAGCAGGAGGGAGATGAGTTTTTTGGGACCGGAATGATGGTAGTGGCTTTAAAACAGGTGGGGACAACAGCCTGGGTTAGAGAGATGTTAAAAATGTCTGTGAAGACATTAGTGAGTTCTGATGCACAGTCTCTCAGTACACGACCTGGGATGTTGTCAGGGCCCGGAGCTTTGCGTGCGTTAATCCTGCTGAGAGACCTCCTCACACTGTCCGGAGACAGAGTCATCACCTGGTCACCAGGGGGAGGTGGCATCTTCTGTGCAATGGTGCTGTTTTGTACCTCAAAACGAGCGAAGAATTTGTTTAGCTCGTTCAGCAGGGGGATGGTGCTGTCACATGTCTGTGGTTGGGGTTTGTAGTCTGTGATGGACTGTATTCCTCTCCACAGACTCCGTGTGTCCCTGCTGTCATTAAAGCGATGGGCTATACCTCTGGAGTACTGTCTCTTAGCTTCTCTGATGCCACGGGAAAGGTTGGCTCTAGCTGACTTTAGGCTCGCCTCATCTCCAGCTCTAAAGGCAGTGTTCCTAGCCTTCAGGAGGTTGAAGACCTCTCCTGTTAGCCATGGCTTCTGATTGGGACGGACTGTGATGGTTTTGGTGACTGTTACATCCTCAGTGCATTTGTTTATGTAGGCTGTAACAGTCTCAGCATACTCCTGGAGGTCAGTGGTGTTGTTGTAAGTGGCAGCCTGTTTAAACATATCCCAGTCTGTGGTATTGAAGCAGTCTTGTAAAGCCTCTGAAGAACCTTCTGGCCACACTTGTATCTCCTTGCAAACCGGTTTGGTGACTTTAACGATCGGTCTGTAAGCAGGCATTAGCATGACAGTTAAGTGGTCTGAGGCACCAAGGTGGGGGAGGGGGAAGGCTTTGTAAGCTCCTCTCTGTGTGGTGTAGACAAAGTCCAGTGTGTTATTGCCCCGTGTTGAAAAGTCTATGTGTTGTTGTATTTTTGGAAACACACTCTTAAGGTCTGCATGGTTAAAGTCCCCTGCCAGGATGAGAAAAGAAATTATGAAAAGAATTATGAATTTAAAGGAATGTTTAAGCCTCCAGGTCTGAGTCTGGTGAGGAAATCTGTGAGTGTTTGGAAAAGTGTGTGTGTGTGTGTGTGTGTTTTGATCTGTGCACACATTATGGAAATGACATGCTTGTGTGTGTTTGTGTGGTGTGTTTGTGCCGGACACATGTAGATAATATGGGAATTGCGCTCTTCAAAGTGTGTGGAAAGTCATCTATCAGCAGCGCGGCTCTCCCAAAAACACAATCAGTGGAGAATGAGTGCCGGGTCAAACACGCCGGATAATTCATGTCATGTGTAGAAACGCATCCGCTGCCTGAACCGCTGGCGCCTTTTTCTACTTACCATTATCATATCAAAGCGCAGTGCGGATGACATTTACATGTACATTTACTCATTTAGCAGATGTTTTTATCCAAAGCGACTCACACTGAAAAGTGTAAGTCGCTTCTTTCCTGTCCTCTCTGCTGCTGCTGCTGTGTTCTGGTGTGTCTCTGGTCTCCTGACGTCTCTGTAGCTCTATAAAGTATGTAAACATAACACACGCAGATGAATCATTATTAATTTGCAGCGTGAACTGTAATAATGCTTCTTAAACAAACTGACGTTTTTATAGTTTTTACCTTGAAGCCTTTAGCGCTGCGTGTCCTTTGTTCATCTGTTCTGGGAAACGCTTAACTTCTGACCGTACGTTCACAGAATTGAGGCACTTTTGTGTTGGAAATTCCAGAAATCAGACTTCACCTCATGGAACAATGCAATAATAATGTTTAATGTGGTGGCTACTTGGTGTACTTTAAAAATGGGATTTGTTTATGAATGTTGAGTTGTCCAATGCGTTTAGTAGCTTTCCAAGACAGCAGCAGGTACTCAGAGAATGTTCTTAAATAAACTTTCCATCATTTTCCATTTCTATTTCTACTATTAGCAAAGTTCAGGATGTGTGAATCATAACCAGAGCCATTCCTGACTAACACACAGATTTTAGAGATGACTAATCTGACAATGTTTGAACATTTAAAACAGCCAGCACTGATGTATTAGCAAAAATGTGGCGTCTTTCATTTAACTTAATTTCTCATATTTGACTCATTCTAGAATAACAGGCACAGTTCAAACATTTTTCCTTCATTTTACTTAAACTGGAATAATATAAAAGCAAATGTGTAATTTACAGTAACCTAAATCCATCATTAATGTACAATAATTTACAATAATAATGTACAAAAATGCTTAAATATGACAGGGAACATCTGTTACTAATTGTTTTGTTATTGTTCAAATAATAGTTATTTTTTAAATGACGATAACAGAGTTGACAATAGCAGAGTTGTTGGTAGCAGAATTGACAGTAACAGAGTTGAAAGTAACAGAGATGACGATAATAGAGTTGATGGTAGCAAAATTGGCAGTAACAGAGTTGACAATAATAGAGTTGATGATAACAGAGTTGACGATAACAGAATTGATAGTAACAGAGTTGACGATAGCAGAGTTGATGATAACAGAGTTGACGATAACAGAGTTGACGATAACAGAATTGATTGTAACAGAGTTGACGATAACAGAGTTGACGATAACAAAGTAGACAGTAACAGAGTTGATAGTAAGAGTTGACCATAACAGAGTTGATAGTATCAGAGTTGACGATAATAGAGTTGACGGTAACAGTTGATAGTATCAGAGTTGATGATGATAGAGTGACCATAACAGAGTTGATGATAACAAAGTAGACAGTTACAGAGTTGACAATAACAGAGTTGACCATAACAGAGTTGATAGTATCAGAGTTGATGATAGTAGAGTTGACGATAATAGAGTTGAAGATAGCAGAGTTGATAGTAAGATTTGACAATAACAGTTGACGATAACAGAGTTAATGGTAGCAGAACTGGCAGTAACAGAGTTGACTACAACAGAGTTGACGATAAAAGAGTTGATAGTAACAGACTACGATGATAGAGTTGACTAACAGAGTTGATGATTACAGAGTTGTTGATAGCAGAATTGACGATAACAAAGTTGATGATAATAGAGTTAATGATAACAGAGTTGATGATAACAAAGTAGAGAGTAACAGAGTTGACTATAACAGTTGACGATAACAGAGTTGATGGTTGCAGGGTTGACCATAGCAGAGTTGATGATAACTGAATTGACAATAATAGAGTTGACGATAACAGTTAATGGTAGCAGAACAGGCAGTAACAAGAGTTGACTGTAACATAGTTGACCATAACAGAGTTGATAGTATCAGAGTTGACAATAGCAGAGTTGACGATAACAGAGTTGATTATAATAGAGTTGACGATAATAGGGTTGACCCTAACAGAGTGGATAGTAAGAGTTGACAATAACAGTTGACGATAACAGAGTTAATTGTAGCAGAATTGGCAGTAACAGAGTTGACGATAACAGCAGAGATGACAGTAACAGACTTGACTATTACAGAGTTGACGATGATAGAGTTGATTAAGAGAGTTGACGATTACAGAGTTGTTGATAGCAGAATTGATGATAACAGAGTTGATAGTATCAGAGTTAACGATAACAGAGTTAACGATAATAGAGTTAATGATAACAGAGTTGACGATAACAAAGTAGACAGTAACAGAGTTGACTATAATAGTTGACGATAACAGAGTTGACCATAGCAGAGTTGATGATAACTGAATTGACAATAATAGAGTTGACGATAACAGTTAATGGTAGCAGAACAGGCAGTAACAAGAGTTAACAGTAACAAGAGTTGACTATAACAGAGTTGACAGTAGCAGAGTTGATGATAACAGAGTTGACAATAATAGAGTTGATGTCGGCGCCAGTGGTGTATTGGTTAGTGTGTCGACACATGCACTCCGGTGCTCACGGCGACCCGAGTTCGATTCCGCCTTGCGGTCCTATGCCGATCCTTCCCCTCTCTCTGCTCCCCATGCTTTCCTGTCAATTCTCTACTGTCCTATCAAAAGGTGAAAACCCCTAAAAATAATTATTAAAAAATAAATAAAAATAATAATAGAGTTGAAGGTAACTGTTGGCGATAACTGAAACAACAATAACAGTGTTGACAGTAAAAGAGTTTTCGATTACTAAATCGACAATAACAGAGTTGACAGTTGACAATACCAGAGTTTATGATAACAGAGTTCAGTGAGTGAGTGAGTGTAGATGTGTTTTTGAGAGTCTATGACTGTTTGAGTGAGTGTGTTGTGTGCGAGTGTGGTTGTGTGTGTATGTGTGTGTGAGTATGATTATGTGTGTGTGAGTATGATTATGTGTGTATATGTGTACATGTGTGTGTGTGTGTGTGTGTGTGTGTGCTGATCTCTGCTTGAATCTCTCCTCACAGTAGTAATGAACACACACTTCACCTGCTGTAATGTAATACTGACTTCTAAAGCCCCGTTGTGCTGGTTCCCACTGAACGCCACAGTAGCTTGTGCTCGTAACGCTCCGCCGCTACCTAATGAAGAAGACTGAAACATTAAGTTTTAGAGCGGGTCTTTAGCGTGCCAAAACCGTTGCGGCCTTTATGAGGGAATTCACTCATTAGTAATTGTGTCCATGTGTAGGTACAAATAAAAATCCTGTGAATTTATAGTTTGCTCTAAAATCTCCTCTGTGCTCGTCCAGACCTCAATGATGGACTTTTATTGTGTCGTTTCTGCTGTTTTTTTCTTCTCAGAGCTAATTGTGTGACAGTATTACACAAGAGCGCTTAAAGAAAAGCATAATTATGATAGTGTTAAAAGCAAGATCATTAAAACAGTTCTTTCCTAACCTGGAGTTGTGTTTTTATCTTCAACCTGTGCTGATTATTTATTTAAAAAGGACTGTAACCTGAATATTTAGAAATATTTATTGAATTTATTGAATATACACTTACCGGACACTTTATTAGGTACACCTGTCCAACTGCTCTTTAATGCAAATTTCTAATCAGCCAATCACATGGCAGCAGCTCACTGCATTTAGGCATGTAGACGTGGTCAAGAGGATCTGCTGCAGTTCAGAGTGAGCATCAGAATGGGGAAGAAAGGGGATTTAAGAGACTTTGAACGTGACATGGTTGTTGGTTCCAGACAGGCTGCTCTGAGTATTTCAGAAACTGCTGATCTACTGGGATCTCTAGGGTTTACAGAGAAACAGAGGAAATGTCCAGTGAGCGGCAGTTCTGTGGGCGCAAATGCCTTGTTGATGAGGCCAGAGGAGAATGGCCAGACTGGTTCCAGCTGATAGAAAGGCAACAGTAACTCAAATAAGCACTCGTTACAACCGAGCTCTGCAGAAGAGCATCTCTGAACACACAACACGGCCAACCTTGAGGCGGATGGGCTACAGCAGCAGAAGAGCACACCGGGTGCCGCTCCTGTCAGCTAAGAACAGGAAACTGAGGCTACAATTCACACAGGCTCACCAAAACTGGACAATAGAAGATTGGAGAAACGTTGCTGCTCTGATGAGTCTCCATTTCTGCTGACACATTCAGATGCTCGACTCACAATTTGGCCTCAACAACATGAAAGCATGGATCATCCTGCCTTGTATCAGCGGTTCAGGCTGGTGGTGGTGGTGTAATGGTGTGGGGGAGATTTTCTTTGGGTCCATTAGTACCAATTGAGCATCAACGCCACAGCCTACCTGAGTATTGCTGCTGACCATGTCCATCCCTTTATGAGCACAGTGTCTCCATCTTCTGATGGCTACTTCCAGCAGGATAACGCAGCATGTCATAAAGTTCAATCATCTCAGACTGGTTTCTTGAACATGACCATGAGTTCACTGTACTCATATCTCTGAGGAATGTTTCTAGTAGCTTGTTGAATCTCTGCCATGAAGGATTAAGGCAGTTCTGAAGGCAAAAGTGGTCCAACACGGTACTTGTAAGGTGTACCTAATAAAGTGGCCGGTTACTGTAATTAAATATGTAATTAATTATGACTTTTTAAATATATTGGCTTTTATTGTTTTTTCTACATCTATGTTAAGGTGCTTTGACACAATTAATATTGTAGAAGCGCTATTGAAATCAAACTTTTTTGCCATTATTTAGTGTTCATTTAATATTTTAATCATCTAGAAAGCAAAAAATATGTTCTTGTTTTCAAAATGTCTTTCAAAGTGAAAATGTATTATTTTGCTTACATCACTGGCAGATTATTTTGCTTGTTTTAAGGAAAAACTCCCTTAATGTTTAACTTACAGAATGTGTAGATATTTGGACTAGAAACAAGGCAAAAACTAAGAGAGTATTGTTTGCATATTTTGCAGTGTGTGAGCTACAGTTGAAGTCAGAATTATTCGCCCTCCTGTGAATGTATTTTTTCTTTTATATTAAATATTTCCCAAATGATGTTGAACAGATTCAGGAATTGTTTACAGTATTTCCTTTAATATTTGTTCTTCTGGAGAAAGTCTGATTTGTTTTATTTCAGCTAGAATAAAAGCAGTTTTTGATTGTTTTAAACTCATTTTAAGGTCAATATTATTCACCCCTTCAGCAATATTAGTGTTGGATTGTCTCCAGAACAAACCACTGTTATACAATGACTTGCCTAATTACCCTAACTTTACCCTAATTACCCTAGTGAAGCCTTTACATCTCACTTTAAGCTGAATACTAGTGTCTTGAAGAATATCTAGTCTAATGTTATTTACTGTTATCATGGAGAAGAGAAAAGAAATCAGTTATTAGACTTAAGTTATTAAAACTCTTATGATTAGAAACAGTAATTGGGGAAAAATATACAGGAGGGCGAATAATTCAGGCTTCAACTATGTGTTTATGTTGTTGTGCTGTTGAGTCTGTGTTGTTTACGGTGTTTTGTCTGCTGTTGTAGATCATCAAGCTCTTGGATGGGAAGCGTTCACAGGCTGTGGGAATCTTAATATCCAGCCTCCACCTGGAGATGAAGGACATTCAGCAGGGTGAGCTCAGCATCACGGCATCTCTGTATTTTTGCTTACAGTACATGTGTGAATGTGTGTGTGTGTGTGTGTGTGTGTGTGTGTGTGAGGGAGTTTGTGTGTGTGCAGGTATATGTGTGTGCATACAGTACCTTGTGTGCATTTGTGCGAGCGTGTTTGTGTGTGTTGTACAGTTGAAGTCAGAATTATTCGCTCACCTGAATATTTTTTCCCCTAATTTTATATTTTAATTTCAGCATATTTCTGCACATAAAAGTTTTATTAACTCATTTATAATAACGGATGATGACAGCATATAATATTTGACTAGATGTTCTTCAAGACACTAGTATTCAGCTTAAAGTGACATTTAGTAAGAGTCTCTCTGCGTGTAACGAGGAGACTGACACGGAGGGATCCATTATGCAGTATTTATTAATCACAACTTCACTCAAACACACAATATGCACCGGAGTGCACACACACATCCACAGTAGTAGTATGGGTATCAAGACTGATGATGAACAGACACAGAGTGAGTTACCAGGCATGAGTAGAAGGGAGAGAGCGAGAATCAGGATCCGTTAAGCAGGCGTGGGTCAAGGGCAGGCAGCGAGGATGAGAGTCCGTATAACAGGCGTGGTTCGTGGGCAGGCAGAGAGAGAGTCAGGGTCCGTGTAACAAGCGTGGGTCGTGGGCAGGCAGAAGGCGAAGCAGAGTAAGAGACAGGCTGGAGTCGTGCACAGGAGATCAGGCTGGAGATAACGCTCAGAAATGCTGGCCGGGGCTAAACAAGATTTCGCACTGACTGAGTGTTTGAGTGCGGCTTATAAGAGGTACGTGGGTCATTAGCCAGATTCCCATCAGGTGTATGCGCAATCAGTGTAGATGGATGACGTAATGCTAAAAGTCTGGAGATGGTGGCTTCTGCTGGCCAGCGAGGGGAGTTACTGGGACCGAGTCGGTGACACTGCGTCAGTGACAGGGGATTCTAAACTAATGAAGCGCCTCATTTGGTTATAACTCA